GGAATCCAAACTTCTGACGACTTTATAGGTTACATTCAGTACCATTCTGTCATGTAGACACTCAAACTCAAAAATCCAAGGCCTCCCTTTTGTCGGGGAAAGTACAACCGAGGGACGTACAGATTGGGATGCGTACTCCTATAGAGATGCATTATTTTTCGGGTCTTTACGTCGAGTCCACTTCACTACTTTAAAGGAGTAAAGTAAAATTGGTACGGCAAGCAAATTTATTTGTTGCATCAATTTTGTTCTTCCCCGACAAATCCGACGACATCTAAAAGATGTAGGCTGCTTCCATCTACGAGCTGCACATCCTCTCCGTAGTCCCTGCATCGTCCTCTTTTGAGATGGACAATTGCACATTTGTCTATCCCGAATTTCATACCGATAGCATGCGGGTGCTCTTCCACCACTCTCAAGGAATGATGGAGATCCTTCTCTCCAGAAGGTGACCCTCTGTCTCCGGTTTCCAGGGGTACCACAGTTATATCCTCGAGTATTTCTGAGCTCAAGAGATAATGGCAATAGTGAGATGCAGAGGAGACGGGGGCTCAGGGAAATACATCCTTTTTATTTGGACCCTATTTGGACTCTGGCTTGACCAGATGTTATGTTGAAGCGAGTCCGCCAGAGTGGTATCAGTTGTTCAAGGCATCTCACTATTTTGTCAGATACCGAAAGGCATCTGAGCAAATGCAAGATGAACTCATGCGACGTTGTATCAAACCACTTGTGGTAATCGATCCAGGCCATAGAGAGGTTACGCTTATACTGTATCGAGTCCTGCGTTACACATCGGTAGGAAAATCATTGTTATGGGCCCCACCACCTTGCCTCTGACCCCTCCAAGCGGGTCGATTGTGGGGGCCCCTTCCTCGATTCTCAGGAACCAAGGTTTGGGTTTACCGGGTGGTTAGCCCTGTGAACCCACGGCCGGCACCGGAAGGAGAATACTTTTCACCTTCCCGGGGGCGCCTGACCTGCCGGGCCGGTTTTGCACCAGTTGCTCGGGTAATCCGCTTATCGTACAGCTAGCTATATGTAAACCAGGGTACCTATAAACGAACCCTAAATGTAAACAACCTATAAACGAACCCTGAATGTAAACAACTTATAAACGAACCCTGAATGTAAACAACGCTTCATGAAAGACGGCACTTCATTTCTGATTTACCGTGTAACTTGGTCAAATATATTTCCCGTAGAGGTATAACCTTGAAGTGAACGAAATGTGAGCGTAACTTTACGAGCAACGTTTAAAGATATTTATTATGATTGAATTGGAACTGACTGGAGTGATTTTAGAACATTGTAAGAGCTACAAAAGAATTAATAAACGAAGAGTGGGGCTGCATTTCTGAATGTAAAAATCATAAACTGGGGTTATGTTTAAGTCGAATCGTTTTTGGATACAAAGAGAAAGATACACCGAAATATGCCTGTTGTTACGTTTGCTCAGTACTTGTTCGAAAGGTCAGAATCGCAAATGCGCTTGATCAAAAGTCCATAGTCCCGAGACGTTGCCGACGGTGTGACTCTTTTTACTCCACTACTGAAATACCGATGGATTGAGGAGTAAGAAGAGTTACTGGAGTTAATATAGCAACTCTCCTGTGATTTTGAATGAAGGTTGCAAGCAATTTGACTTTAACATCTCCCATTAGGAGTACGAAAACTCCATCTACTGATGTCGAAGCTTGGCTTTGCAACTAACCACCTTGGGGAGTTATGTGTATCTTTGATATTCCAGGATTGTGTTCTCTGACGATCCCGTAGAGGGCGTCGACCTCAGTTATTTCAATTGGTTCATAAATAAAAAAGTTGTGTGAATTTGAAGAATCATGTCAAACATTTTTTCAGCAAACATACTATGAATTACTGTTCAGTTAATTTGTCTGAAACTCTGGTTAACTATATTTGAGTTCGTGAAACGATTTTTTTTATAAATCAAAATTAGTTACAGTTATAAAATCTGAATAAACTAAAAAACTGAAGTTCATGCGATCGGGTCATATAGCTTATACATAATGAATTTTTTTGTAAATCATTCATTCATAAAGAGTTTACTTTCTTCAGTTCATGATTTATTGTAATTTTTGTGGAGGATGCATTAGCAGACTTTATTTATCGAAATGCTTTTCTGAGTGGATGTTACTGAATGTGATAAACTAATAGTAGGAAATATTTTTGAAAACAAGCTCCCATTAACATGCCCTAAAAACAAGAAAATAGATTTTTGATTAAACAAAGCTCATACATTTTAGTGCATCTAGTGAATTCATAGTGCCCTTCTTCAGTAACAAAAACTGTAAACTTCCCGGTATCTTCGAAAATTCTTATGTTCCAAAATCCATCTTTCAAATCAATTTTTGTAAAAAACTTACAACCGCCAAATTTTTCAATACATGCATACATACATACAATTTTTCATACATGAGTTCTTGGAAATGGAAACAGGTCTACTACTGTTTAATCGTTGATTTTTCTCTAGTCTATACAGAATCTGAATGTTCCATCGTTTTTTGTAGTCAATACAGGTGAATCATATGGTAAATTATATTTTACTATTACATATATTCTTTTCTAACAATTCTTTTATTTTGTTACTAGTTCACATTCGTTTCGTACTATTTTGATCATTCCCAAACTGATTTCAACTTAAGAGCCACCGATAAACACCTGTTTCAGCCTATTGGGCATCGTCAGTACCGGGCAGGCGGTCCTCGATTGAAGACACTATGTGAATAACCAAGAAAATTACTTAAGTTGAAATCAGTTTGGGAATGATCAAAATAGTACTTATCCATTTATATTTTGATTTTCATTGAATTTTGGGGTTGCAACCTCATGGTCATCATCTATTCTTTCACTTCCATTTGGTGAATTTCTCCTCATTTAGAATTTTTGTATGATATGTTTACCAATTAATAATTCCAAAGGTAAATTATTGACTACTGCAGGAAAAATTTCCAAATATTTTCCGTCAACTTCTAATTTTGCCTTTGTTTTAAACATGCACTTTGTGACTACTCCTGAACTTCTGATGGATAAGTTGACATCCATTTTTGAAAAATCAATATGGAAAAATTACGATCTCTCCCGACGCGCGTTTCACTAACCGAGTTAGCGTCCTCAGGAGATCATTATGATCACTTTAGTCGTATTCTCATCAAAAATTTGTATAAAACTTGTTTTCTATTATATCCAAATATTCTGACTATTGGACTTGCGAATGCATCTGTCTTCATACCATTTTTGGTGATACAGCTAGGAGAATTCTGTACTTCATCAGTTCGGATATCCATTGTCTAATATTATATAAATTGATTTGAAATCCCTGAAAAAAATTAGAAGGATGATTTCAAATCAATTTGTATTATATTAGACAATGGATGTCCGAACTGATGAATTACACCACGAAACATTGTCAACCACCTTCAACATAGGAGAGTTCTGAGCCATTCCTTATGGAAAAACACGTGCCAATTTTTTGAGCAGGTGAACTCTGGTGATTTTTTTGGAGCTCAGGCCCAGTTCACACGGAAGGAACTAAGGTCCGCGCCTCATCTCTGCCAGATTCAGATTCAAATCAGTAGATGAACAAGGCCGGTACGAGCACAAAATCCCATGTATTTTCTTATGGAGCTAATGTTTTTGCAAATTCCATGACATCCGATCGGAACCTTGTGAAACACACAACTCGAGGTACGTGTGTTTCAGAGAGTGGTAGAGAGAAACGTGTGACGTAATCGATTCAGAAAAGGATGGAATGAGCATGGGAGAGATTCAAAGAACGTGGGCCCCCTTGGGACTCCGAATCACCCATCGGACTCCCTTACCACATACCAGTCACGTAGTCATCGGCAGCTGAATACAATCAAATTAAAAAATGTATCGGTTTGAGACTCGAATCCAGGTCGTCGGCGTGGTAGACGTTGTCCTAAGCCTCGACACCAACGTGGACTATTGGAAGTAATTGCGAATTGTTGATATTTATAGCGGTTGTTTTGTCGGGACCGAAATTGACTTATTCTCTATACTTGATCGCATTTTTTTATTTCCACATTTCCATGTGTAAGATAGGGAAATATTCTTAGATTTGGAGAAGTATTGATGTTTCATTAAAAGGTGTGTGGGTAAGAGTGAGAGAGGCACGTGGTGTGACATAATCGATGCAGTGAGAGATGGTATCGAGGTGGTACGTTGCTCGCTCATGCATGGCAGGTTCGGTGTTGTCGGTTGTAAAATAAATTGTTGTTTATGGGGCGATGTGGCTTTTGAAGCGTTGCCGGTTTCAAAATTAAGCATAAAGGGTTAGAAATACGACTGATACGATAGAGTTACTTATTTTCAAATTGATTACTTTCTTCCTTTCTTTGGAAGATTCCCACATTTTTGTATATCAAGAAGGAGTAGTAGAAAGCCAAAAACTTTCTTTCACAAGATATGTTTTCACTATCACACTGTCTCCACTAAACTGGCTAGGTTGTCGTGAAGTTGTGTGTAGTTGATGGCCGGGTAAGTCCAAAAATGAATAATAAACATTTCTAGCTTGAAGCAAAATGATCACCTTCTGATAAAATACACGACTGCAATCGATTTTTCATTGATTGTCTAACAAGTTCAACAATACCCGGAGAGTTCCTTATGATATTACAATTGTCAATTATTCGATTCCTCTAATCATTTACATCCAGTTTCATGAACAAGAGCCTTCAGATGACCCCATAAATATCAGGGCTGTGAGCTGGCCAATTTTGAGGTCCTACACGTCCATTCCAGCGATTAGGGTAGGTGATGTCAAGATAATAAAAACAAGCGGTCATTTCTGTCATGAATATTGCATAAAAAAATTCACAAAAATATAACGCGCTGAAACGGTCATTTTGGTCACTTTAACCGCAGGCGTTTCATCATTGGCAACACTGATATTTGACATATGATATTGAGAAGACGATATGATGTAATTTCTGTGATTGTAAATAAAAAACTTCGAATTTGTTCAAGTATAACACCTACATCTGGTGCCGTGAAGTTGCTGTTCATTCATGAAATGCCATCCATTCTGTAATAGGTATCTGTTTAAAATCATAATATGGCATACTTCTGTGGTTTCCTTTTTATGTGGTTTCCTATATATTGAAAAAATTCAGCGAAAGTTTCTCAAATTTATTTATTTCAAACTGTTTAGTGTATATCCTAAAAGAGGAAATCTTTATAGTCAATTACTTGAAGATTTGCTGTTCGTTTGTACAACTAGTTACATTTTTTCAAAGGTAGCATTTTAATTCAATCTACTAGGTACGGTTAACCACGTAAAGGAGACTGTGTATGTGAAAAAACCAAAAGGTCTCCCAAGCAGGAGACGACTTCAAAATATCAAATTGTTTTTATGTTGAAAAACACCACTTTTTTCTGTTCTTTCACCATATTATGGTGAAAGAACAAAAAAAACACGATTTCAGACAGTGTAATCCTCTGTGAAATATTCTTGATTAAATTGTTACGAAACCACCGCATTGCTAACAATCATTGATTCAAAATTAATTACTATTCTATTGACATATATAAATGGATAGAAAAAAGTAACAGAAAACCAGCCATTAATTATATTTCAAATTACGCATACCAATGTGACATAATATCTCTGTACGTTGCACAAGTGACGTAATATCTCTGTACATTCCACAAGTGACGTCACATATCTGTACCAGTGTATCAGTAGCTTCCGTAGTATAGGATTGCTTACTTTTGCGATTTTGTTTGACACGTCACGTGATCTCGTGACGTAACAGTGGTGACTGGATTGATTCGGTACTGCAGTTTTAAATTAAAATAAACAAATTTCATGTATATTCCTTATTAAAATATTATTTTTATATGGGATTAAATACTTAATATAAATGGATTAATACTAAGTAAAAATTTTTCTTTTGTGGATGATAGGGCGAGCTATTTTGCCCTTTTTAAAAGTAAGAGGTTTCTGTTGATATTAGCTTAAAAATAAAAGATGTTAGTTGTCGCGCCCTCTAGTAGCATATGTAGCAGTTACTTTGTATTCCCGTTCCTTTTCTAATAAAGCAGTTTCTTGCTGATAGTTGAACAAGTCGGAGTGTTTTTATTGTTTCCTTCCGCCTGCTTTTTAATAGGTTATGTGCCCAGAACACCACGTGTAAATAAAAACATTGAAACAAGTGTTACCGCAGTTTGTTCATTCAGTAAAAAATGTTCAAAAGCACAAAAAAATACGACTTTCACAATAACAAACTCAATGTTTCAGAAACCTAAATAGTATAGTTAAATAAAAATTTAATCAAAACAAACAAAAACAATGTAATACTGTCCGAAAATAATCCTCAAAAAAATGTTAAAATAACACACAGTCTTATGGCTGGTACTAAAAGTGTCACCAGTGTTACGTCACATTTGCTCGGCGCTTGTTTAACGTGGCGATATATGTAAGTAAGCAATCCTGTATGTACATAATCGTTGGCAACGTCCAATCAATTTAGAGAGAGATCTCCATAGGTTATATGTTTTTATGATGAAATTTTAAGTTCATAGGTAATTTCTATCAGTTGTCACTTACTTCAAAGATAATTGTGCACATTCACTAATTATCTTCTGCTAGTAAGTGTGGATGCAGCCTAAATTACCATTAACATTGACATTAACAGGTGGAAGTATTATTTTCGCCATTTCACTTCATGCAGCATGAATTAAATTCAATTTACATTGGGAGTTGGTCAACTTTCAACTTCTCGTTTTAATGTTTTTTTGGTATAATATAACTCTATGCGAATAGGTACGCATGTGTATTTTTTTCTCAAGTATGTATCATTTACATGCAATGGAATCGTATTTCTTGTTGATGTCAATTTAATTGTAATATGATGGTGATTTGATTTTAGCTGTATGTTTCCAACCTACCATTTATCGTCGAATCCCAAAAACATCACAATAATACTAAACCAGGTACTCACAATTTCCTATGATTCCAGGAATAAAACCATTTGCTTGCCCTCACGAAGGATGCGAAGCCAGATACACTATCCGACCCGACCTGAAAGACCATATCAGGAAAGTCCATACCAGAGAACGACCTTTCAAGTGCAACGTTTGCGATAAGTGCTTTCTGACCGGCTCCGTTTACTACCAGCACCGGTTGATACACACCAACGACAGGAGATATGCGTGCGACGTATGTTTCTAATATCCTCTGACTTTGTATCTTTTCAATGTTTTACGAATTTTCAGTTGTGCCCGAAACGTTTCTTCAGAGCCGACGCTTTGAACAATCACAGGAGAATCCATACAGATGAAAGACCTTATCCATGCCATGTTTGCGGAAGAGAGTTCAGACAGAAAGGAGACCGGAACAAGCATTTGCGAACCCAGCATCCGGACAGCTTTCTAGTTTAGGAGTGTTACTTTGCAGTTTTAAATAGTATTTTAAGGGTTTTTGTTCATCTTTTTGTTCAAGCAGTTGAGAATGTATTGATTTAAGGCAATTCTACACCTTTCGATCCCATCCGATTTATCTGGAATCATTTATGAAATTCATTCCCGCCATACTTTTCGCAATGCAAACGTGTTTGTGATTTTCTATCTATAGAAATATGACTCCTACATTAACATAACTACAGAAAGTTCCAATGGGAATAATAATATCGAATAGAGTAATTAATACACGTGACAGGAGAAACATTAAGAGGAATGATAATGAAATTCACTTACAATGAAAAAATTTCACGCCTCTGAAAATGATAAAGGTTTTGAGATCTTATCATTTTCGAACGAATGAACGAAGAATGTTTCTTACAATTAATGACTATGCTTCATTCATCCAAAAGCAATATACTTCGAGACGTCGTGAATGCCAAAGAAAATCTAACAGCGAATTTGTGATCCTTAGCTTCAGGTTGCAGCTATGTAGACTTACTTTTACAAGTTCAAATTGACTGGGGGAAAATTTTCANCATTTTCACTAACGGATATTAACTTTTGAGTTAACTTAAAATAACGTTATAATAACATTGAACCTCAGCAAAAATCCAATGTCAAGAAGAACTTTGAGCAGACGTATTATTGACGAACGTTTTCGATTGAAGCAACACTTGATTAGGTAGGTAAGAAAAATAAATCGAATCTGTTAGATTGAAGGAACACTTGATTAGGTAAGCAAGAAAAGTAGGTATTTTTTATTTTCAACAGAACTAAAAGTCGTCCTGCACGTATATACATGTTGTATATAATTTAATATGGTGTAAAGTGATGTCTTTATAAATTTCATTTCAGAAATATTCTGTAAAATTAAAAAAGAACGCACAATCGTCTCAACGAAATCTTACAACTATCCGCATGTTTATAAAAATGAGTAATTACTTCTCGTTCCCCACAACGGATTCAATATTCCCCGGAGCGTAGGGCAACATCGTAGGAGTGCCGTAGGTGGTAATATAGCACTCTTAGGGCTGCGTTATTTCGATGGATATAGGCCGAGACCGCGTATGCTGGACATGCTGCTAACAAGTGCATTAGGGTATCGGACGCCTCGTGGCAGGCCTTGCACCTTTTGTGTCAGGAACCTCTATACCCATCACGCGACTGCGGTAAACTAAGGTGTTGAAGACACCATTCTGGCATGCCATGATGAACCCCCCAGTTTCCAACTTCAGCTCACTTGACCTGAGGGAAGCGAAAGTCAGGCGCTTTGATAAGCTGAGGTTTTCAATGTTATTGAAGAAGACCCCATGCTTATCCTTGTGTTGCCGCAAAAGTAGAGTGATCTCTGCGGATTTTATTTGAGCTTTTTGTTGAACGAGTTCCAACTCGGTGACAGAGTTGTAATCACCTCGTTCATTGTCGAAAACTAAACCGAGTTCATCAGCTGCTCGGGCAGCTGCCCTAAAGAGAAATGCTCCAATTCCTGCTCTTTCATGGTCGCGGACTTTGCATAGAAGGGAATCCAAACTCCTGACGACTTTATAGGTTACATTCAGTGCCATTCTGTCATGTAGACACTCAAACTCAAAAATCCACTGCCTCCCTTTTGTCGGGGGAAGTACAATCGAGGGACGTACAGATTATTGGGATGCGAACTTCTATAGAGATGCATTATTTTTCGGGTCTTTACGTCGAGTCCACTTCACTACTTTAAACGAGTAAAGTAAAATTGGTACGGCAAGCAAATTTATTTGTTGCAGCAATTTTGTTCTTCCCCGACAAATCCGACGACATCTAAAAGATGTAGGATGCTTCCATCTACGAGCTGCACATCCTCTCCGTAGTCCCTGCATCGTCCTTTTTTGAGATGGACAATTGCACATTTGTCTATCCCGAATTTCATATCGATAGCATGCGTGTGCTCTTCCACCACTCTCAAGGAATGATGGAGATCCTTCTCTTCAGAGGGTGACCTTCTGCCTCCGGTTTCCAGGGGTACCACAGTTATATCCTCGAGTATTTCTGAGGTCAACGGATAATGGCAATAGTGGGATGCAGAGGAGACGGGGGCTCAGGAAATCGCCCCGAAATACATCCTTTCTATTTGGACTCTGGCTTGACCAGATGTTATGTTGTTCAAGGCATCTCACTATTTTGTCAGATACCGAAAGGCATCTGAACAAATGCAAGATGAACTCATGCGACGTTGTATCAAATGACTTGTGGTAATCGATCCAGGCCATAGAGAGGTTACGCTTATACTGTATCGAGTCCTGCGTTACACATCTATCGATGGACAGGTTCTTTTTACATCCAGCGACTCCTCTCTTCAACCTTCTTTGCTCATGTATCCGTTCGAACACTCGGCCAACTGCGGTGAGTATTCGTGTATGTATAAGATGCTTGTAAACAACTTATAACACGAATTTGAGCATGTTATTGGTCTGTAATTCTTAGGAATCGACAAATCTCTGCTTTTGGGGATGAGAACGGTCCGTTCCTCGACAAACCAATCCGGAATCGTCTGCTGCAACTCTAGCTATGCCAACGGGTGGTAGAACTGCCATTTCTACCAATTCGGTAGCACGCTGGGAAGGAGTATGATCTAGATGTGTTTCACACCACAGAGCATGCATTCTCGCCATGCACCCTCTTCGCGTAGCAATGCAATGTAGCAATGTATAAGGATATCTCTTAGTTCATGCGTCCGCTCAAAGCGTCCGTTGTCATTGCCAAGGTTGTCATCGGTAGGAAAATCATTATTATGGGCCCCACCACCTTGCCTCTGACCCCTCCGAGTGGGACGATTGTGGGGGCCCCTTCCTCGATTCTCAGGAACCAAGTTTTGGGTCTACCGGATGGTTAGCCCTGTGAACCCACGGCCGACACCGGAAGGAGAATAGTTTTCACCTTCCTGGGGGCGCCTGAGATGCCGGGCCGGTTTTGCACCAGTTGCTCGGGTAAGTGGTGACGCAACCCACCAGATGTTTTAAGTTCTAGGGAGTGTATACTTTATTCGAAAATATGGTTTTAGTAATTATACCTCTGGATCATTTTGTTAAAAAAGTAAGTAAGAAACGATAAGATAGGTAGAGATAAGGAAACAAACAAATATGGGCTAGTCAGAATTCAAGTATAATCTATGAAAAATCAATGCGCTGAATGTCTATGATGCCTTATGCATTCATTCAAAAACCTAGGAATTATGTCAATATGGTTATCTTGCCTCCTGAAGTATAGTATTCCATGCTATCTGTACCTCATAATGAAGTTCTACCAAAGTCTACGAAGGATGGGTTGAACTGAGTAATCTCATACCATGACATGCCATACATGCTCAATGGGTGAAAGATCTGGAGATCGGGGTGACCACTGCAACAAATGGATATGATGTTGGTGGAAGAAACTCTTGCTACATGTGATCGGTAATTATCTTATTGGAAAATTGGACTGCGGAGGGTTCAAAGGTATGGTAAAACATGACATATCACTACTTCCTGCAAGTAACACCGGACAGTCATATTGCCTCTTATGAAATGCTAAGGGAAAATACTTGTATGAGATTCCATCATCTCACCATTACTTTACCAATAAAAGATTCACTTCATCTCCTGAAGACGCCAATTTGATTAGTGAAACGGGTGTCAAGTAGAGTATTGAAGTTCAGTTGTTTGGTGAAAGTGCTTGTTTTGGAAATACTCCACCAGTTCGCTGCCTATACCTTTCCACAGAAAACTTTGTTTCACATCTTTTACCTCGTTGTCTTCTTACCATTGTCGCCAAACATAGTCTGTATTCTGGTTCTAGTGTAATAGTTCTCTGAAACATGCTCAACAGTTTTGTTGATGTTAAATAGGGAAATGTAACATGAAAAAAGGACGGTATTAGAAAAGTCAAAAGTTCTGTATTCTCCATAAACAGTACACACACTCGTACCAATGGGCTAATGATCCGCAATTACTTTTGTTGAAGTGATTCAGTATCAGAGACCTAGAAGTCTAAGTCGGCTATCTTCATCTGTGGTTCAGTGGTGATATCCTATGCCTCTCTTTTTTGTTGTTCGGCATGCAACATGCCAACATGCAACATGCTCGACAAGCGTTCATCATAGAATTGATAGATCCGTTCATCCTAGTAGTGATATCTCAGAAAAACAAACTGGCCTCACTTTAATCTACAGTTTGATTTATATAAAACTTTCTCAGTTGATAAAAAAATGTCCTCGCTCTAGACATAATGAACACCTGAGATAGATTTTCTAACAAGAGTTCTCGCACAATCATTCATGTCATGAAAAACGATAGTTTTAACATGTATGATTATATTACAAATAGAAAACCAACGTATACTTACATATTACAAAAACTCAATATTTAATCATATTGCATGTATACCACAAATGAATAAAATTTTTCAGCTATTGCTGGGTGCTCCTGTTTTAAAGTAAATTTATGGGCATACATTACCAAACTCGGTGTAAACTGAATTTTTTAAATATTTGTTAACTGCAATATGAGAATTTTATATGACCTAAAACTGGCAATTATTTTCTTTGACACCTTGAATTTCGAAAGCATGGTTATATTCTTTTTGTCTCCATAGTCGATTGATCGCCAGATCCCATTTTTTATGAAAGCGGGGAATGGCCACATATTTTTATTCTTTTTTCTTGGAACTTTCGACTCTGAAAGTCAAAATTTTGATCTTAAACTTGAAATTTTGAATTAAGTCACGAAATTTCTCTTTGAGCTCGAAATTTAGTTTTTAACTCGAAATTTCAACATAAGTTGGAATTTCCAAGAAATAAGGTAATGTAAATGTGAATCCAAAGAATAGAAGAAATACAGAAATCTTCAAAGTACCCTGAGTCTATAGCTAGAATTTTGAGACTTGGCAAACATTCACAATGTGGATTTAGAAAAGACTGTAAAAAATTGTAATCATGAGGCTTGTTTTTGCCTTTTTTTTTTATTTTTTTCTTACATCTAGCTTATAGTTATAGTACATATGTGTGAATTTGTTAGTTATTTTGTGAAAATAGGCAATGTAGTAAATAAATGAAAGAATAAATAAAATATGTGGCTCTTATGCCCTTCCGTAAATGTTAATAATGGTAAATGGTATTATATGGATTTATTTATTACTTGTATCCTTTTGTTTTTATAAGTCAGGATGTTTAACTATAGAAACTTTCAGAAATATCGGTTTTATGAAATTGAAATAAATCAATGGGTGAAACTTTTTTTAAACAAGCTTTTATTCACTGAAAGTTTAAATCTAGTCATAAAAGATTTGTAGTATTAGTGACTGGGACTAATGTATTCTCAGTGATAAGAAATGTGATATAGATTAAAGAAAGAAATTCCAATTTAGAACAGTGGCCCGTAATTTAAATCGAAGATTTATATCAGGCAAATTAAATTCTAGATAGAGGGATAATGCTTTCCACAATTACATCCGCGATATTGAGTGGCGAATTTTTGTTTGTTACCTGTTTGTTGAGAAGGAACATGAAGATATTTGGAA